AACAGATTCTTCTTTCGCACTTCCCGGCAGTGGAACTCCCTTCCTCTTATTTGCTTCTCTGATAGATATAATCTTCAAATACTGAAATGTAATATCAATCGACATTTTCGGATGACTTGATACTGATCACCGTTCTTCGACATATCTTTTACCCAAACAACCCTCTTTACTCTTGCCCCTCCTCCCTGTGTTACCACTGTTGTGCTAATAGCACTCCGCCTTCAATCAGTCTTGTGAGTATCGGAGTTTCCAAGCCCTCTTTCCTCATTATGCGACCTAGTAATTTCAGTAAACGTTTCCTTTTTGTTTCCATTTTCACTAAAACTTCGTCGTGGCTCACATAATCTGTCCATGGTATCCTCAGTATCCTTCTGTTTCTCTCTCTGCCATACAGGGGAAGAGATACCACGTAGACGCTTTATATTCGTTTCCAGCTAATTACACGCGCTAGTTAAAGACCTGCGCCAGACTCCGAGGGAAATGACTCAGAAGATGGCAAGCTCTCATGTTACTGTCGCTCGTCATCTATCCTCAACAGATAAGGCACAGATAAACGACGCATCTGTTGTGCCACACGCATTGACCAAACGGAACATTCTCCAGCGTTCCACTATTTTATCTTTTTTAAATTATTTCCACCCGACCCAAGCAAGGAGGGAGTGGCACTAGCACGCAAGGGCTTACAGAGAGTGAGATCAAGAGTAAAGAAGCGTGACAGAGGAAAAGATGAAGAAAAGGTCGGGGAATAGATCAAGGCATCTGGGGATGTCGATTGACATTGCCTTTGAATAATTGCAGAATATAGCTATTAGGTACGCAAGAAAGAAGGTGTGTGTGTATGAGTGTGTGTCTGAATATTCCTATCTCTCTATTTATCAATTTCATTTTGTTCTTATCTATCTATCTATCTATCTATGTCCAAGTATAGGATTGGTGTATACGGAATAAATTCCAATAACCAAAAAATACAATTCTTAAAATAGTGCTCAATACAGAGTAGAGCAAATATAATTTATTTGAAAATTATAACATAAATATGTTATAAAATCACTACAAAAATAGGCATTTCGTAACAGTCTAATACACCTGCTAATCTATTAATGATTACACTCTGTTACAACATTTTGACTATTTTTTTTGCATTTGGTCAGTAAGTGTTATTTCCAAAGGAAATTACTATTATTCTCTTCAAACTGTCATTTTCTGACCTGAAGGAGAATTTTCTAGAAGTTTCAAGAAGTTTCTAAAAGTATCAAGAATTTCTGAGAACGCTCTGGCAACATAGACTAAAACCTAAAACAAGTTGAGCGTATTTCAGATAGACTCCCCGCGCGGTTAGTTTAAAATGAATATCAGCTAAAGCCACAGGTGGCCACCCCAGAGAGTATCTCTTCTTCGTAAGGTGCAGAGGTCATAAGCCTGCATCTACGGCATCCCAAATGGGGAAGTGCCGAGGGGGTCTTCAGTAAATTTTATACGGTTTGCCATCTTAAACCTCAGCCTTGTGTCACATTTTGTTACGACGTGGGCGTAAAGATAAATACAAACTTTGAGGTTTGATGCAATTCGATCATTTTCTGTCTGGTCTTAACGTAAATTTGATTTTCATAATTATTTATTTCTAAGCGCTGCAAACCTCAGCGTAGTTGTGCGTGAAGAAATTTATCCATGCATGAAATATTGCTGTCACATATGGTCTGGTGCTTCTCCTATGTATTTAGAAATTCTTGATAAAATCTAAAGAAGAATCTGCAATGTTATATGTCCTGATCTGGTATCTCGTCTTTAGTCATTTTCCGACAGACGCAACGTAGGTTCACTGTCCTCCTTTCTAAAAAGACTTTTATGGTAATGGTTTTGATGATCTTTCCAGCACCTAGAATTTACGAATTCAGTCGCAATACTAAATTGGCAGCAAGGTCTCATCATTTTACAGTTGAAATGGCTAGATGTAACCGTAAGTTCTATGCTAACAGTTCCTTCTCTCTCAAGGTATTATATCCACGGCCTTATAGATTGGCGGCAAGGTCTCATCATTTTACAGTTGAAATGGCTAGATGTAACCGTAAGTTCTATGCTAACAGTTCCTTCTCTCTCAAGGTATTATATCCACGGCCTTATAGATTGGCGGCAAGGTCTCATCATTTTACAGTTGAAATGGCTAGATTTAACTGTAAACAGCGTCTTTTGTCGCTCTACTTACTTGTGGAACTCTCTTCCATTTTCTTGCATTCCAATCAAGTTTGATCTTCAAACAATTTAATGCAACGCCATTCGATATTATTTATTTCCTGTTCTTGTATTTTTCTTTTTCCTTGGTAATGTTATTGGTATTCTTTCAGCCCTGCATCTTAGTGGCTTTATTGCCTTGCTTGGAGTGAAAGGATTGAAATAAATCACGTTGCACTCATTTTCCTAAGCGACTGCTTGGTAACATAATCATTCTACTCCTGATATAAAAATCGGACAAAAAAAACCCCAGGTTGCGTCAGGTATCTGAGAACAGAATTCCGAAAAAAAAATAACAAACAAGATATCACCCCACTACTACTATTTTTCAGCGTATAGCCAGAGTGTGTCAGGTATTTGAGAACAGAATTTTGAAAGAAATTAACAAAGAGGGCCATTTTATCATTAGGAATTAGTTATATATTTTTAGTGTAAGTCTTGTAATCATATATTAGAACAAAATCAAAAGGATTATTCTACAATCGAACATCATTTTCCGAGGAACGTGATATTTGTTTTTAGCGCATACCAAGGGTGCGTCAGGTAATTGAGAACGTGATTTTGAACGCGATTGATATAAAATTAACAGACGACAATTTATTCACTGGGGATGAGTCATATATTTTTGTGTAACTCTTGTAATCATATATTAGAATACAAATTAAGAGGTTTATTCTAAAATTGGACATCATTTTCTGAATAATCTAAATCTAGTTTTGAGCGATTACCCAGAGTGCGTCAGATATTTGAGAACAGAATTCTGAACGAGATTGATATAAAATTAACAGAGACGATGATTTAATCATTAAGAATTACTTATATATTCTTGTGCAACTATTATAATCACATATTAGAATGCAGTTAGAAACTTATTTTCTTTTCCGTACAACCGGGTTGTTTTTAGGTTTTTACATTGTTTCGGTCGATATCCACCCGGCCTTCATCAGGCGATCGTCGACAATTACAATTCCACCCCGTAAAATACCCACTAAGTATAGAAACGACGGAAGCAACACCAGCGCGCCGAGTCTCTCATCCTGTACCTCACATCAATCGAAATGGACTTGTCGACCCCGCCTCCCCCACACCTTTAACTGACTGATGCATTCAGCGTAAACAATATACTTGCCTGCATGCTTTTCTGTAAACTGGCCAAGTTAAAGCTGAATTAATCCGTTTTACTGAAGTGTCTGGGAATTTGAATACATCTAATCTTCTATTCCTAACATTCTTGAAAATGGAAAATATATATGTATATGTATGGAGACGTTATCGTTAAAACGAAGAACCGAAAATTGAATAAGACTTTCTTCAATGTAAGTATTAGAATTTTGGAATAAATTTAACAACTGACTGACATATTCAGCCAAAAGGGGAACATTGCTTGCTTGAAGCCTTTATCATTAAAATGGTGTATTCAGATGCGCATGATCTTCTTCGATAAAAATACGAGCATTTTCAATGCGTTTTATGGCTAATCGATACATTCAGGCCAGCGAAATCCTTGCTTGCATGAAACCCTTATCAATATTCTGGCACACAAAACGGTGAATAGGTTTTTCTTCAATCAAGACACATGGAATTTCAGTGTAATTAACAACTGATTGATATAGTTGAGCGGGAGAAAATCTTCGTAGACTTTTTTTTATTAAACTAAGGAATCCAAAGTTGACTAAGACGTTCGAAGCGTTGTATCTCCTTAGCAACCGATGGATATATTTTGTGATTAAAAAAAAAAAAAAAGTTGCTTGTAAGAAATCTTTATCATTAATTGATTTCTTTGCTTGGTGGCGCATCAACATCCCCGTGGGTGATTTAACGATGAAATTTAATTTTCTCTAATGCTTTGAAGTAATAGAATTATGATACCTGTTATTCTGTTTTCACAAGCGAACACATGGTAGATGATACTCAGGTTTTTTGCATGTACTCGTTTGTGTGGACATGATAACTAAAGTCGGTGATATGTGTTTTTTTATGTTGTAGTTTTGTTAAAGTCATATTTTGGAATACTCTTTGATTTCTTCAGGAAATTTAGGATCTTTTCCTTTTTATATGCCATATCCTTTTAGGACGTAGGCGATCATGGCTCTCCACCTCCCTCTATCCCTTGCAGCTCTCAACAAGTTCCTTCCTTCTGCTCCCCCCCTTACGATGTTCTGTCATCCACTTGCTTAAGTCTGCTAGGTATGTCACGCGTTGTTTTCCCGTGTCTCTCTTTTCCTCTATTCGACCCGTGAGTATCAGATTCTCCAGGCCGTCCTTCCTCATTACGTGCCCCAGAAACCTCAGCTACCTCTTCCTGACGTTAAGTACAAGCCTCCTTGTTTGCAACCGTTCTAAGACGTCATCGTTCCTCACAAGCTCAGTCCATGATATCCTTAGCATCCTTCTGTAGAAACACATCTCTGTCTCCTCGAGTCTCTTCTTCATCTTTAAGGAAATCGTCCAACATTCGCTGACGTAAAGAAGGACAAATGTCACATAACAGTTCCGTATTCGTTACCAAAGTGTTGAAACTTGACTAATGCATGGAATAATAATGCAACACAAAATGTACTTAGAACAAAATGTATTGAAACAAGAAAGTGTACACAATATTTACATATAGTCTTTTGTATATTCCTGGTAAGACCGTTCCTGGAGAATGGGTTGACTTAGTCGCAGTCGGGCAGAGTCTCTGGTTGAATCTCTTGATTCCTCCCTCTCTTCCCGGTACCAACCATATTTATATGGTGGGTACTCCACTATGAAAATTAGGTGGATCCTACCACCACAGATAGATAGATAGATAGATAGATAGATAGATAGATAGATAGATAACGAAAGGTATGAGATAAAAAAGATAGATTAATAGATAATGACAAGAAAGAGATAGGCAGATCAGCTAGAAAAAAAGAAACTGAAATAGCTATGAACAGCCTGCAATAGATAGATAGATAGATAGATAGATAGATAGAAAATGAACGGAATGAGATAGATAGATAGATAGATAGATAGATAGATAGATAGATAATGAACAGACTGAGATAGTGTTGAAACTTGACTAATGCATGGAATAATAATGCAACACAAAATGTACTTAGAACAAAATGTATTGAAAGAAGAAAGTGTACACAATATTTACATATAGTCTTTTGTATATTCCTGGTAAGACCGTTCCTGGAGAATGTTTGAAGTCGCAGTCGGGCAGAGTCTCTAGATTGAATCTCTTGATTTACCAACCATATTTATATGGTCGGTACTCCACTATGTAAAATTAGGTGGATCCTACTAGATAGATAGATAGATTAGATAGATAGATATGTTGAAACTTCCATGGAATAATAATGCAACACAAATGTACTTAGAACAAAAATTCCTGACAGAAGAAAGTGTACACAATATTTACATATAGTCTTTTGTATATTCCTGGTAAGACCGTTCCTGGAGAATGTGTTGACTTAGTCGCAGTCGGGCAGAGTCTCTAGATTGAATCTCTTGATTCCTCCCCTCGTCTTCCCGGTACCAACCATATTTATATGGTCGGTACTCCACTATGTAAATTAGGTGGATCCTACCACCACAGATAGATAGATAGATAGATAGATAGATAGATAGATAGTGTTGAAATTTGACTAATGCATGGAATAATAATGCAACACAAAATGTACTTAGAACAAAATGTATTGAAAGAAGAAAGTGTACACAATATTTACATATAGTCTTTTGTATATTCCTGGGAAGACCGTTCCTGGAGAATGGGTTGACTTAGTCGCTGTAGGGCAGAGTCTCTGGGTTGAATCTTTTGATTCCTCCCCTTTCTTCCTGGTACCAACCATATTTATATGGTCGGTACTCCACTATGCAAATTAAGTGTATCCTACCACAACACAAAGATATCCTCCTGTCTCGCAATACTATGCCCAACTTTTGGAATGTGTCCTTGGCCACCCCACTACGTCGACGGATTTCAGTTTCGCACTTACCGTCCTGTGTCAAGACGTTTCCCAGATATTTAAACTTCTGTGTCTGCTTCATTCTAGTGTTTCCGACCTGCAAATCGCATTTCAGGCTCATCTTTTCATTGAGGGCCATGCATTCTGTTTTCTTGTAGTTTATGCTTAGTACCATATTCTCAAGCTCTGTCGCAACCTTCTGTATTAGATTTTGCAATTACTTTTCCCTGTCTGTTATCAGTACTGTGCAGGATATTAAATGGATCAATGTCACGAAAGAGTTATGCATGTTGGTTATTTGGTTGATTTTTAGCGGCATATCAACACCTCTATGGGTTATTTAATGCTGAAATCTAAATATTTTGAACGTCATTGCATGCCTTCAACTAGAGATAAAATGCTGCTCATTTTACTAGAAATATAAATTGTTGGTCATTTTTACTTTAAATATGTATTTTTATACTTTTATATTGTTTTACATTTGTTAGGGAGTTCACTATTTCTCCATAGCTGGTATCCTAACAGGTGCTAGCAACTTGGGTCAGGATGGACCTGGGACCAACAGGAATTTAGATGTAGTTGCATACTTGCTGCCGGTTGTAGTTTATCCTCAAACCCAGGAATTATAATACTAGTAATACCCATATAATTCTTACTGTATATCTTCTTTTGCAGCCGCCTGTATCGTGATTAAGCTGATATATTTCTCTGTATATAAACGATTTTCTTGCCTTCTACGTGTCTGCGTAGGCAAACTGGCTTAACTCTCAGTGGATCGATCGAGATTATTCTTCATATTAATTGATTGTTTAGCGACATATCAGTCTCCATTGGTCATTCAATGCAGAAATCTTCATATTTTTAACGCAATTGTTTGACATCATCAAACTCACATAAAATGTATTTTTCGTCATTTTGCTATTTGCAGTGCTTGTAAAAATATAAATGAAAGTTCTGAACTGCCGTGTAATATCAATCCTCCTATATGGCAATGAATGATGGACAATCTGTTCATACCTTTCATAAACTAAGCAAAGTATTAAGAGATGAGAAAATTTTATTAGAAACAAAGAAAAGAGTAATTGATTGATATGTAATATCAATCCTCCTATATGGCAGTAAATGATGGACAATCACTTCACGCCTTTCATAAACTAAGCAAAGTATTAAGAGATAGGAAAATATTGTTAAAAACAAAGAAAAGAGTGCCGGGCTGCTATGAAATATCAATCCTCCTATATGGCATTGAATGCTGGACAATCTCCACATAGATGAAGAAGAGACTTGAGGCAACAGAAACAAAGAAAAGGGTGCTGAACGGTTATATAATATCAGTCCTCCTATATGGCAGTGAATGCTGGACAATCTCCTCATAGATGAAGAAGTGACTTGAGACAACAGAAACAAAGAAAAGGGTGCTGAACGGTTATATAATATAAGTCCTCCTATATGGCAGTGAATGCTGGACAATCTCCTCACAGATGAAGAAGAGACTTGAGGCAACAGAAACAAAGAAAAAGGTGCTGAACGGTTATATAATATAAGTCCTCCTATATGGCAGTGAATGCTGGACAATCTCCTCACAGATGAAGAAAAGACTTGAGGCAACAGAAACAAATTAAAGGGTGCTGAACGGTTATATAATATCAGTCCTCCTATATGGCAGCGAATGCTGGACAAACTCCACTCAGATGAAGAAGAGACTTGAGGCAACAGAAACAAAGAAAGGGGTGCTGAACTGTTATATAATATCAGTCCTCCTATATGGCAATGTATGCTGGACAATTTCCTCACAGATGAAGAAGAGACATGAGGCAACAGAAACAAAGAAAATGGTGCTGAACTGTTATATAATATCAGTCCTCCTATATGGTAGTGAATGCTGGACAATCTCCTCACAGATGATGATGAGACTTGAGGCATTAGAAACAAAGAAAACGGTGCTGAACGGTTATATAATATCAGTCCTCCTATATGGCAATGAATGATGGACAATTTCCTCACAGATGAAGAAGAGACTTAAAGCAACAGAAACAAAGAAATGGGTGCTGAACGGTTATATAATATCAGTCCCCCTATATGGCAGTGAATGCTGGACAATCTCCTCACAGATGAAGAAGAGACTTGAGGCAACAGAAACAAAGAAAAGGGTGCTGAACGGTGATATAATATCAGTCCTCATATATGGCAGTGAATGCTGGACAATTTCCTCACAGATGAAGAAGAGACATGAGGCAACAGAAACAAAGAAAAGGGTGCTGAACGGTTATATAATATCAGTCCTCCTATATGGCAATGAATGATGGACAATTTCCTCACAGATGAAGAAGAGACTTGAGGCAACAGAAACAAAGAAAAGAATACTAAACTGTTACGTAATATCAGTCCTCCTATATGGCAATGAATGCTGGACAATTTCCTCACAGATGAAGAAGAGGCTAGAGGCAACAGAAACAAAGAAAAGGGTGTTGAACGGTTATATAATATCAGTCCTCATATATGGCAGTGAATGCTGGACAATTTCCTCACAGATGAAGAAGAGACTTGAGGCAACAGAAACAAAGAAAATGGTGCTGAACGGTTATATAATATCAGTCCTCCTATATGGTAGTGAATGCTGGACAATCTCCTCACAGATGAAGAAGAGAGAGACTTGAGGCAACAGAAACAAAGAAAAAATACTGAACGGTTAAATAATATCAGTCCTCCTATATGGCAGTGAATGCTGGACAATCTCCTCAAAGATGAAGAAGAGACTTGAGGCAACAGAAACAAAGAAAATGGTACTGAACTGTTATATAATATCAGTCCTCCTATATGGTAGTGAATGCTGGACATCTCCTCACAAATGAAGAAGAGACTTGAGGCAACAGAAACAAAAAAAAAATGTTGAACTGTTATATAATATCAGTCCTCCTATATGGCAGTGAATGCTGGACAATTTCCTCACAGATGAAGAAGAGACTTGAGGCAACAGAAACAAAAAAATGGTGCTGAACGGTTATATAATATCAGTCCTCCTGTATGGTAGTGAATGCTGGACAATCTCCTCAAAGATGAAGAAGAGACTTGAGGCAACAGAAACAAAGAAAAGGGTACTAAACGGTTACGTAATATCTGTCCTCATATATGGCAATGAATGCTGGACAATTTCCTCAAAGATGAAGAAGAGACTTGAGGCAACAGAAACAAAAAAAAATAAACTGTTACGTTATATAATATCAGTCCTCAAATATATGGCAGTGAATGCTGGACAATTTCCTCACGGATGAAGAAAGAGACTTGAGGCAACAGAAACAAAGAAAATGGTACTAAACTGTTACGTAATATCAGTCCTCCTATATGGTAGTGAATGATGGACAATCTCCTAACAGATGAAGAAGAGACTTGAGGCAATAGAAACAAAGAAATGGGTACTGAACTGTTATATAATATCAGTCCTCCTGTATGTCAGTGTAATGATGGACAATTCCTCAAAGATGAAGAAGAGACTTGAGGCAAAAGAAACAAAGAAAAGAATGCTAAACTGTTATATGATATCTGTCCTCCTGTATGGCAGTGAATGATGGACAATTTCCTCAAAGATGAAGAAGAGACTTGAGGCAACAGAAACAAAGAAAAGAATACTAAACTGTTATATAATCAGTCCTCCTATATGGCAGTGAATGATGGACAATCTCCTCAAGATGAAGAAGAGGCTGAGGAGATAGAAACAAAAAAATAATACTGAACTGTTATATAATATCTGTCCTCCTGTATGGTAGTGAATGATGGACAATTTCCTTCAAATTGAAGAAGAGACTTGAGGCAACAGAAACAAATTAAAGGGTACTAAACTGTTACGTAATATCAGTCCTCCTGTATGGTAGTGAATGATGGACAATCCCCTCAACAGATGAAGAAGAAACTTGAGGCAAAGAAACAAATAAAAGATACTAAACTGTTATATAATATCTGTCCTCCTGTATGGCAGTGAATGCTGGACAATCTCCTCAACAGATGAATAAGAGACTTGAGGCAATAGAAACAAAGAAAGAATACTAAACTTTTACGTGATATCTGTCCTCCTATATGGCAGTGAATGATGGACAATATCCTCAAAGATGAAGAAGAGACTTGAGGCAATAGAAACAAAGAAAATGGTACTAAACTGTTACGTAATATCTATCCTCCTATATGTCAGTGAATGCTGGACAATCTCCTCAAAGATGAAGAAGAGACTTGAGGCAACAGAAACAAAGAAAAGGGTACTAAACGGTTAAATAATATCAGTCCTCCTATATGGCAGTGAATGCTGGACAATCTCCTCAAAGATGAAGAAGAGACTTGAGGCAATAGAAACAAAGAAAATGGTACTGAACTGTTACGTGATATCAGTCCTCCTATATGTAGTGAATGATGGACAATCTCATCAAAATGAAGAAGAGACTTGAGGCAATAGAAACAAAGAAAAGAATATTAAACTGTTACGGGATATCTGTCCTCCTGTATGTCAGCGAATGATGGACAATCCCCGCAAAGATGAAGAAGAGATGGAGGCAAGAGAAACTAATAAATAATACTAAAATGTTACGTGATATCAGTCCTCCTGTATGTCAGCGAATGATGGACAATCTCCTCAAAGATAAAGAAGATACTTGAGGCAAGAGAAACAAAGAAAGAATACTAAACTGTTACGTGATATCTGTCCTCATGTATGTCAGGAAAATAATGGACAATCTCCTCAAAGATGAAGAAGAGACTTGACGCAGCAGAAACAAAGAAAGAATACTAAATTGTTACGTGATATATGTCCTCTTGTATGGCAGCGAATGATGGACAATCCACTCAAAGATGAAGAAGAGACTTGAGGCAACAGAAACAAAAAAAATAATACTAAACAGTTATATAATATCTGTCCTCCTGTATGGTAGTGAATGATGGACAATCCATTTCAAATGAAGAAGAGACTTGAGGCAACAGAAACAAAGAAAGAATACTAAACTGTTACGTGATATCAGTCTTCCTGTATGTCAGCAAATGATGGACAATCTCCTCAAAGATGAAGAAAAGACTTGAGGCAATAGAAACAAAGAAAGAATACTAAACTGTTACGTGATATCTGTCCTCCTGTATGTCAGCGAATGATGGACAATCCCCTCAAAGATGAAGAAGAGACTGGAGGCAATATAAACAAAGAAAGAATACTAAAATGTTACGTGATATCTGTCCTCCTGTATGTCAGCGAATAATGGACAATCTCCTCAAAGATGAAGAAAAGACTTGAGTCAATAGAAACAAAGAAAGAATACTAAACTGTTACGTGATATCTCTCCTCCTGTATATCAGCAAATGATGGTGAATCTCCTCAAAGATAAAGAAGATACTTGAGGCAAGAGAAACAAAGAAAGAATACTAAACTGTTACGTGATATCTGTCCTCATGTATGTCAGCGAATGATGGACAATCTCCTCAAAGATGAAGAAAAGACTTGAGGCTATAGAAACAAAGAAAGAATACTAAACTGTTACGTGATATCTCTCCTCCTGTATGTCAGCGAATGATGGAGAATCTCATCAAAAATGAAGAAGAGACTTGAGGCAATAGAAAAAAAGAAAGAATACTAAACTGTTACGTGATATCTGTCCTCCTGTATGGTAGTGAATGATGGACAATCCATTTCAAATTTGAAGAAGAGACTTGAGGCAACAGAAACAAAGAAAGAATACTAAACTGTTACGTGATATCTGTCCTCCTGTATGTCAGCGAATGATGGACAATCCCCTCAAAGATGAAGAAGAGACTGGAGGCAAGAGAAACAAATAAATAATACTGAACTGTTACGTGATATCTGTCCTCCTGTATGTCAGCGAATGATGGACAATCCACTCAAAGATGAAGAAGAGATTGAGGCAATAGAAACAAAGAAAGAATACTAAAATGTTACGTGATATCTGTCCTCCTGTATGTCAGCGAATAATGGACAATCTCCTCAAAGATGAAGAAAAGACTTGAGGCAATAGAAACAAAGAAAGAATACTAAACTGTTACGTGATATCTGTCCTCATGTATGTCAGGAAAATAATGGACAATCTCCTCAAATATGAAGAAGAGACTTGAGATAGTAGAAACAAAAACATAATACTAAACTGTTACGTGATATCTGTCCTCCTGTATGGTAGTGAATGATGGACAATCCATTTCAAATTTGAAGAAGAGACTTGAGGCAACAGAAACAAAGAAAAAATACTAAACTGTTACGTGATATCAGTCCTCCTGTATGTCAGCGAATGATGGAGAATCTCCTCAAAGATAAAGAAGAGACTTGAGATAGTAGAAACAAAAACATAATACTAAAATGTTACGTGATATCTGTCCTCCTGTATGGTAGTGAATGTTGGACAATCCATTTCAAATTTGAAGAAGAGACTTGAGGCAACAGAAACAAAGAAAGAATACTAAACTGTTACGTGATATCTGTCCTACTGTATGGTAGTGAATGATGGACAATCTCCTCAAAGATGAGGAAGAGATTTGAGATAGTAGAAACAAAAAAATAATACTAAACTGTTACGTGATATCTGTCTTCCTGTATGGTAGTGAATGATGGACAATCCACTCAACGATGAAGAATATACTTGAGGCAATAGAAACAAAGAAAATGGTACTAAACTGTTATATAATATCTGTCCTCCTATATGGTAGTGAATGATGGACAATCTCCTCAAAGATGAAGAAGAGATTTGAGATAGTAGAAACAAAAAAATAATACTAAACTGTTACGTGATATCTGTCTTCCTGTATGGTAGTGAATGATGGACAATCCATTTCAAATTTGAAGAAGAGACTTGAGGCAACAGAAACAAAGAAAGAATACTAAACTGTTACGTGATACCTGTCCTCATGTATGTCAGCGAATGATAGAAAATCTCATCAAAGATGAAGAAGAGACTTGAGGCAACAGAAACAAAGAAAGAATACTAAACTATTACGTGATATCCTTCCTCCTGTATGTCAGCGAATGATAGATCATCTTATCAAAGATGAAAAAGAGACTTGAGGCAACAGAAACAAAGAAAGAATACTTAACTGTTACGTGATACCTGTCCTCATGTATGTCAGCGAATGATGGACAATCTCTTCAACGATGAAGAAGAGACTTGAGGCAATAGAAACAAAGAAAGAATACTTAACTATTACGTGATACCTGTCCTCATGTATGTCAGCGAATGATGGACAATCTCCTCAAAGA